GTATATTAAGGTTGAAAATGAATACATCCTCTTTAAAGTTCCATAATATTTTTATATCACACACCTCTGCATTTCTAGCTGCTTCTCTAGTGATAGTGATATTCAGCGTGAGATTCTTCATTGTCAGCTCAAGTTGAGTTTTATGGGAAAAGGAGTTTGGATCTATTAGGCAGAGCGAATTTAAACCAGTCTGTTTTCCTCAGGAAATATCTGCGGCGCAAACCAACAGGGCAAACAACTGTGTTCACCGGAGATATTTGAGATGAGAACTAAAGCAAAGCTTCCTTAGAGGAGATGTGCACCTTGTAAAAAAAAAAAAAATTACCTTTGTGCAACGTTGTGTAAACGTTTGATAGTATATTTCTCCTTCATTCATTATTCGAAGACGTTTGAAGGCAAATTCTAAATTTACATAATATTAATGAATCAGATGGATTATCAAGAACCTTCACGGACAATTTGCTTTGCAAAACACTGCCACTTACAACAGCAAAGACGTGTATATTTTGCATGGTTCTGTCCATACAGTATGTGCTGAAACCGGTCGTGGTAGTTTATTAACTTCTCCTTCTGCAAAAATATAGAAGTGGAAATTAATCTGCACCGGTCGAGCTGTGGCTTGGGAAAAAGTGCATATGCCACAGTTTGCAGAACCTGGCATGGCTCTGCTCCAAGCCTCCCTTCGTTTCCAAGGGGGTTCATGAAATAAATGGAGAAAAAAGGCCGATGAGAAAGTCCAGATTCGGTCGTGTTGACCACACAGGGATTTGGGGATTACATCTTGATTACCATGTTTCAAACATCATCCTGCGGTGGAGAGCGACATTAATCAGAACCGAGGCATAACACATTTAGAGACAACAAGACAGACTTGGCAGGAGTCGGTTTCAAAATAAAGGTTGGAAAACGCAAAGGAGGCCCACATGGACTTATTTAATGTGGAGTGCTGAGGTAGATACTCTTATACAGTATATTTAAGGTGTCGTGTTTCCCTCAAGCGAAAGTGGAGGAACACGTCTAGCATATAGTAGAGAAACCTTTCTATGAAACTTTGAAGAAATCATCGCCTCGACAGGGGAATATGCAAGATTTCCTCTCGGTTCAATAGGAAACGGCGGGTGAAAATCAAACAAGGTCAAAACCAAGTCAAGCCTCCTGGTTCTTCTGTGGGCCGCAGGAAGAGATAGGAAGCCAAGAAACAGGCTTGATCGATGTCGTGGAGTGTAGAGAGGAAGAAACAACATGGACGGGTGCAGAGGGCTCGGCTATTTTTGCACCGTCGTACGGAAATGAGCCATAGTCCAGAGAGGAAGTAGATAGGCCAGAAAGTGTCGCGTAGCAACCAGAAGCAGGAAAGAAGCTAGTGTTTGTATACATCTGTTGGTGTTACTCTGGTGTGCAGAACACGATCACAACATATGCAAATACAATGATCCAAATCAGTCTGGACTCCACCCCTTCAGGAATGAAATTTAATGTTTAAATATTATGTAAATGGTTATTCATTTAAATTAACAGCAGTTTATCACTTTTGTAATATTTATTATTAATATTTACCGCTAATAATAGTTTTCCCTCATTTTCAAGCAGGGGGAGTTATATTCATGTTCTTGTGCATAGAGTACATTTGACCTTACTGCAATATAAAACTGTTTATTTTATGATAATAATTAAAGTAATTAATTATTAATACTTTACATTTTATATTTGATATTTAATATATATGTAAAAGTATAATGTACATTATTTATCATTATATTTGAATAATACCTAAATATTATTTAAATGCATATTAACATAAATTGTCAATATAATTAATCTGTTTCTTTTTTGTAATGTTTATTATTAATTTACTTATTGATTACTATAGTATTCCTTTTAGCGTCTCACTCAGTTTTGACATTACTGTATTATTTGATGATTAACTTAAATATCTAAAATATATTTTTACAATTAAAATACTTTTTTATAAATATATAAATATAAAATGCTTATTTTATATTTGATATTTAAATATGTGTGTAAAGGCATAATTGTAATGTGGGGTTTGGTGTTTGGGTTTCATGTTCATGTTTTCCATGTCTTTTATTTTGTATTGTTTCACCCTGTTAGTGTCATGCTTCCCTTGCCCTCATGTATCTCTGCCTTGTGTATGTGTCATGTTCTGATTGGTTGTCTTAGTCATGTGTCTTGTTTCCCATTGGTTTGTTCTTGTCTTGTGACCCTCTTGTCTGCTTTAAGTAGCCATCATGTTCCCATTGTGCCTTGACGTGTATTGATGTTGTAACCCGCTGTCGGTGAGTCAAGTCTGTTTATGCCTAGTCAAGTCAAGTCAAGTCAAGTCAAGTC